TGGATGGATGGATGGACGGGTGGATGGATGGGTGGATGGATGGACGGGTGGATGGATGGATGGACGGGTGGATGGACGGGTGGATGGGTAGGTGGGTAGGTGCGGGTGAGAAAGGAGTGAATGACAGGAAATTATACAATCAGCTTATCTGGTAGGTGGGAACAACAGGGCCCAGAGGGTAAGGAGACTGAATAGGATGGAAAATCAGCATCAGAAGAGCAAAGCGGGTTGCAAAATGGTGCAGACAGGATAATTCCCTTTTCTATTCAATAGTCTGGAGGGGTGGACACCGAAATATTCACAGTGATCTGTGTGGTGAGATGATGGTGATGTTTGTCACCACGCTTTTGCTTTTTGGCAACTGAGGCCATTAACTAAAAGTATGAAAGAAAATAAAAGGAGACAGAAAACAAATCAGTGGCTGTGTGAAGATGAGACCCTAACGTTCCTCTCGGTGCATTTTGCACACGGCCCTGAGAGGGGATTTGAAACATCAGCGGCTGGGGGTGCACTTGCTGGCCGCCTCTGGCCCTATGAGCTCGGCCTGCACCCCTCCCTAGGACCCCATCTTATCAGAGAGTGCTTTGGAACATTCTCTGAGACAGTTCACATCTCATGAAATCTTCACACCCTCCCTCCTACGAGAGAATGTATTAGTCGTCAGTACAACTACATGTGATTTCAGTTTTATATCTTTATGACTGTTTTCCCAAGTACGGCGGGAAAAAAATTTTTATCAGGCTACCCTCGCCTATTTTCAGCTCAATGTGGCCACCACAATGACAGTTCCTGGGGGGTCTTGTGTCTTAGGATGGAGCTCCTGGAGGGTGGAGTCTGACCCCTAAACGTCTTGCATGTTGAGGACACCATAAATATTTGCTGCACTGGACCAGACGTCAAGAATCTCTTTTGTTCGTGTGAACATTATTATTAGATTTTCATATTAACTAATGTCCTCTGTGGAGAAAGACCCATTTCTCAGCACATTAATCCAACACAACTGGACAGAAGGTAACATGGTTCTGTCCAGTTCACAAGTACACTCCACCACCTGTTCGTTGTCTGCTCAAAGCCAAGTGAGGGGAACACGTTCTACTTGCCTCACTAGTATAGTGTCTCCTGGACATCTAATGCTGGAAAAAAATGAATTCTTAGATTTTTCTCACCCAGAGTTTTTAGATGTAGAGCTTTGCTCAGTATTAGTAAAATATCATTTATCCCGTTACTTTAGATTTGGGTTTGTTTTCCGTGTAGCCTGCATGAGTGATTTGTAGACACTACAGGTGTCTTCTGTTGGCAGGCCTTTCGGGGTCGCAGGGATGCTGCAGGGAATGAAACTACTTTCAGAGCCTTGTCTTGGGACATGGGGTTTGACAGCAGCAGAGGTAGCCCTGTGGCTGCGCTGGGATAGGGAGCCATTCACCCAGTCCTGCTCTGACTGCACTACAGGAAAGAAGCTACCAATTCAAGTATATGTATTTCCAGTTCCAACCCAAGCTGAAGAATCAAAGACATCTGGGCCCTTGGCCCTTCCTCGCTGCTGCAGGTAAACTAGTGAGCAATGCGACTTCTTGTTTGCCACACGCCTGCCTATAGAACCGGGCTAACGGTGCTGGCTGAGAGGCTGAGGCCTTGAGCGCTCACTGCAGTGCGTGGAGTGTGGGAGACTGACAGCTGGAGGGCCCCAGGCACGAGGTGGGGTGCTGCTTCTCCTGCCAGGTGTGTGCAAGGAGGGTCTGAGCCTTTATTCCCTACCACGGGAATGTTCAGATGATCCCCATCTGGGAAACCAGAAATGGAGGCAAGGAAGACACAGTCAACTCCACTGTCCACGGAGGCCACCCCAATCTCAGCCTCAGCCCCAGACGCAGCATCCTGGGGACAAACACCTCCCACAATTCTCCCTCCCTTTGGGAGCAGCCTGAACCTCACCAGGGCAACTTATCCATCTTGTTACATGAATTTCCGTTCATTCACAGATGCGCAGCAAGTGCTTGTATGCCCGACACTGTGCTTCTCCCACTTTTCTTTAGCTACAGAGCTCCTCACACTCTCCACACCAGCCACACCAGCCTCACAAATTCTCACTGGTGCTGTCCTCCCTCGAGCCACAGGGCCTTTGCACAAGCTGTTTCCTCAGCCTGGAGCTCTCTTCCCTTCGGATCTTGATCTCAGTTCAAGCACCCCCTTCTGAGGCAAACCTTCCTGACCCCTGCCTCAGTCCCCGCACCATGTCCATCTAAGTACTCATGGCACCATGAGTCTCCTGCCTGGCACTCGTCACAGCTGCACCGTGGTGGCTTATTACCATTTGTGCGTAATTTTTTCATGAGTGTCTGTCTCCCCCTAGATCATAAGAAGAGCTAGGAATGGTACTGTCTTTGCTCATCCCCAGAGCCTGGCTCACGGAGTGGGGCTTCATAAATATTTGTTGAACGACTGAATCCTTGCTAATGTACCTAACCTACAGTCTTAATGCCCCACAGACAGTAGGAATTTGTATACCAAATGAAACATAACAGAATCCATTAATGAGGGATCACAGAGTGGGCTACACTGACCACTGCTGGTTCTGGTGGTGAGCTGGATGGAGCGCCATTTTGTAGAAAAGAAAGAGCCGTGGGGCTGTACTCCGGCTGTTTGGCTGTTCGAGTGCCTCTGTTCTTCACCCTGCGTGGTGGTGTTTAGATTTTATAACTATTAACAAAAGCAACACCCTTATAACTGGCATTCCTGCACAAAAACAACTTTGCCACTGTGAGTTGAAAACCCAACACCATTTCCCCCACTGACATTGTTTATGAGTACATGAAGTTTCTTAGGGATGCAACCATCATAGAATAGACCATCTCAGATGAAAAGACGCAAGAAACACAGACAGCTCTACTACCCAGAGCCAAGCTTACTTCATTTGACCTTTGGAGGCTGTAAGGATGGGAGGGCACACCATGCCTCCTCCTCAGGGGAGTGCAGAACTCAAGCCAACCAGCTCAGATCCTCAAACTGGGTGCCACAGCCCCAGATGCCACCTGAGCGCGTCCTGTAACATCACCTCGGAGCTGACTGCACAGCCATCACCCCCTGGGCGGACACAAGCTCAGGTTGTCAAGGAGACCAGCCATACCCAGGACGGAATGCACCCAGGGCTGAAGTCTGACTTTCAACGGAGGAGAAAGAACCCATTCCCCTTGGCAGGCCTCAAAGATACAGTAGGTTCATATGTCACAACACATGAAAAAACTTGAAGCGAGAGGTTAAGACATCATTACTCTTGTTTTCTGGGCAGTGGCGGAGGGAGGGGGTGGCACTCACCTAGTCCTTCTCTGAAAGACAGGCTACTAGCCTTGCAAAGGGCTAGAAGGTGGGCTGTGTAGAGAGGCAGGCAGGAGGGGTTTTCTTTTCATAACCTGTTTCCATGGTGCCTGACAGCCCTGGGCAATCCACAGCTGGGGAGTCTTGGACAGCCGGGGAGGGGGAGCCCAGGGCCTTATGTCACCCAGGCCACCCTCCAAGGCCCATCTTCTTGGCCTGTCTGGGCCCCAAGGGTGACAGAAGCCACAGGCAGGCAGCAAGGGCCCCCCTCTCTTGGGGGAAAGGAGCCGAGTGATGTAGCAGACAAAGGGCAGAGCACAGAGAGAACAACCCAAGGGCCAAGGTGGGCAGCTCTTACCCACCCCCTTCCTCGCCCCTGCCCTGAAGGAAAGTTTCACTGAAGACCCGGCAGACCCTCTAACTAGGAACACATTCCCTCCCTCCCCTCTCAGCCTGGACTGCATGGCCCAGATAACCAGATAAGGGCCTCTTTGATTTTCAGTGTGTTTACACAAGTCTCGGGAAGGATCGACCATATCCAGGCAAGTCAGGGCGCCTCCGGGGGGCGTGAGGGGGGCGGACGCCTTACCTGCTCCTGGGAATTCATCACGCGCAACTTCATCTGCTTCAGGTACGTAGAGGTGAGGGGCATGTTGTAATCGATAATCCCGGAGACCAGAGGGGAGGGAGGCTCGCTTTCTGGCGGAAAGAAGAAAAGGAAGCCCCTTTCAGCCTGTGCTGTGGGCCACCAGCAGCCTGGCACCCACGTGGGGGACCCAACACAGGGACTGAGGAGGAGGGAGGGGAGGCCGGAGATCGCTGACTGGGGGCTCGCCCGCCGTGCCTGGCCCGTGGATGTGGACCGCATGACGCTTAAGTGCCAGTGTTTAGTGAGAGAGTTCACCTTTGAAAACCAGGGATTTCTGACTCCTTTGAGAAATGGAAGGTCTGGCCGCACAGGGCCCGCACTCCCACGTGGCAGACACCCACTGCAGCTGAGCAGCAGCCGCTCCTTTTAGACAGAGTGTGAGGGCTCCGTTTTGCCACAGTCCCCACCCCTCCCTATTGCGCTGCACACGTTCACTCAACAATGATGCCTGCCAGGCCCCTGAAGCCATTTAAGTTTCCAATGCTGGCCTAAGCCAGCTCACATGCCACACTGTCCCACCCCGTCCCCCAACCCCCACGGTATCCCCCCCCAAAGCACCGTCAGGGACCACATCACTCGCAGGTCTGAGCCAGGCCTCCAGTATGCCCAAATTCTAATTCCTCTTTCATCACACAGAGAGGAGCACTGTTCCTCCCATTTATTGCTTTCTTGTCCTGAACATCAAAGTAACGCATATCCCTTTTGTAGAGCATTTGCAAAGTGTGGAAAGATGTAAAGAAAAAATTTTGAAACCATAATTGCACCAAGAAGCTTGGCATATGCTTGTTTATTTTTTCCCTGTGATTTCTCTTTTTTATATACTTGATATCACAATGCATACAGAGAATTACAGTCTGCTTAAAAAATTTTTTTTTGCTTAACATTTTCTCATAGGCATTTCCCCCACCATCAAAAATCTCGTTTTGCTTTGCAAATATAATTTTTATAGCCCTGTACTATTTTATCCTATTTTCCTTACGTCATTCCCTTATGATTGATTACTTAGGTTGTTTGCTATTGGGGGTTACTATAAACACTGCAGGGGACATCCTTGTGCAGGAATACTGGTCTGTATTTATGATCGTTTCCTTTTTAGACCAGACTCCAAGACGTGGAATTTGTGGGTCAAAGGGTAGGAATACTCGGAAACTCTTGAAATGTCTGGCCATGCTGTCTTCTGCAAAGGCTCCTGCAGTGGACACTGCCCAGCCATTGTGTTCTGCATCTTGGGTGCCACTGTGGGTGCCATTTAGGAGAGACTGCAATGGCACAGGAATAAGTCAAGAAGACGAGAAGCATGATTCGAAGGGAGCCCATCACGTCTCTCTCCAGTCCAGCTTCCCCTTCAGATGTCTCCTGCTGTGACCAAGCTCGAAACCCTGGAGTCACCTGCTGGGACCCGTCACACGAAGTGGGGCCTCATTTCGTCACTTAGTCGCTTGACCTGGCTTCACCCTCCGTCCAGGGAATAGTCTTGGTTACCTGTTCTCTGGTTGCCTCTTCCCCCCGTCTCCAAGAGTGCCAGGCCTTTGACCCATGTCCCCCCTGGTGCCTAGTTCTGTTCATGGGCTGGGGTTTGAGTGGTGGGAGAAGTGGGAACGACTTCCAGACGGGCCAAAGCCTGCACGTCCCCACAAGCACCGCGCCCAGGAGATGCGCTGGACGGGAGCGGGTGACAGGGCTGAGGTGGAGAGAGGCAGGGATTTGCAGAATCTGCCGCTCCAGAGCCAGAGCCCAGGCCAGACAGGCCCCTGCAACCTTGAAAACGCTCTGCTGAGGGAGAGAAGCCAGACGCCACAGGACAAATACTGTGTGATTCCACGTAGATGGAACATCTAGAACAGGCACATTCACAGAGACAGAAAGTAGAAGAGGGCTTCCCTGGTGGTGCAGTGGTTGGGAATCCGCCTGCCAATGCAGGGGACACGGGTTCGATCCCTGGTCCAGGAAGATCCCACATGCCGCAGAGCAACTAAGCCTGCGCCACAACTACTGAGCCTGCGCTCTAGGGCCCGCGAGCCACAACTACTGAGCCCACGTGCCTAGAGCCCGTGCTCCACAACAAGGGAAGCCACCGCAATGAGAAGCCCGTGCACCGCAACAAAGAGTAGTCCCCGCTTGCCACAACTAGAGAAAGCCAGTTCGCAGCAATGAAGACACAACGCAGCCAAAAATAAATAAATAAATAAATTTAAAAAAAAGAAAGAAAGTAGAAGAGAGGTTACCGGGGATGGGTGTCTGAGAATGGGAAGTTACTGCTTCACGGGTCCACAGTTTCTGTTTGGCGTGATGAAAATGTTTTGGAAACAGACAGTGGTGATGATTGCCCAGTGACTGTAACTAACACTGAGTTGTACACTTCAAAATTATTAAAATGGCACGTTTTGTGTTGTAAATATTTTGTCACAAAAAAGAAAAAAGGCAAGAAAAACCCCCAATAAAGATGTATTTACAAAAACCAATAAAGGTGTATTAAAAAAAAAAAAACACCAGTAAGGATGGAAAAAAAAGGTAAGAAAAAAGGCCCCTGCAAACAAGGGGGAGAAACTACCCAAAGGGCACCGGGCAGTTCCTACTTGGCGCAGATAGGAACAGCCCTGCAGAAAACAGGGTCCATGCGCCTTGGGGTTGTGTCCTTCTGGTGACTGTACAGCTTGAATAACATTTCTTATCAAGTTTCATAAAAATGCAGAGCTTTGTTTTGCTTTTTTTTTTTTTTTCCTCTGGGCCGCGCCATGCGACTTGTGGGATTTTAGCTCCCTGACCAGGGATCAAACCCAGTCCCCCTCAGTGAAAGCGGTGAGTCCTAACCACTGGACCACCAGGGAATTCCTTGTTTTGCTTTTTAAAGCTATGTTGTCTTACGCAGAATTTCTGTTTGTCCAGGAGGAGGTAAATGTCACTCATAGAATGTCTCAGAAACTGGCTTGGAATGGGCCAAACCTTTCTTTTTCTTAAGGGATTTCCTCTTGGTCTGTGGCAGAGGGGTTCTCTAACACCAGTGCACACTGGCCCCTCTGGCACAGATGCCCAGTGCTGTGGGGAAACTAAAATGCATTTTTGTGACCTGGGGTCCTCTTCTTCTTGCCGCCCCACCATCAACCCAGACGTGACCTCTTTCAACCCAGGGGCGTGTTGGGACCTGGCCTCCGCAGCTCCATGAGGTTGGATACAATATGTGAGGCAGACATTGCAGCCACATTGAGATGATGTCACTCAAAAGAGCCGTGGTTCCTGTTTTGGAATGTGGGTCTTCAGATGGAGGATTCTGCCATTTCCATTTCATTTCCTCAAAGACGTGGTTGTCTGCTGAAAAGCTGTTAGACAACATGGTAGATGAGAAGGGACCCCCAGCCTAAGGGTCGCCGGTCAGAGACTCAAATGAAGACTTCATGAGCTGCCATGGCGACGCTCTGTGTTCTGTTGTCCATGGAGGCCGGACACTGTGTTCCTTTATTGATGGTCACCCGTGTCCTGCCTGAAAGCCGTGACTACTTACGAAAAGGTAACTTTAAAAAAGCCAGGTATAGCTAGGTTTAGGAGAAAACCCACAATGGCTGGGAAGGCACTCTTGGGGGGTGGGAGAGGGGGTCTTCCTTGGCCTGTTCCCTCCACAGCAGGTCCACTGATCAGAAACTGCTTCCAGTGCCCGGAGGTGAGCCAGGAGATTTTGGGAATAGGAGGCCGGATGCCCTCATCTGGGGAGGCAGGGACATCCCGGGCACACACACGAGTCCATCCGAGATCGGTGTGCAGTGAAATGTTTGCATCTGCGGTTTCGGAAGTGAGGGTTCTGTCGGGGAGGCGGGACCTTGGCGGGCAGGACACATTCCAGGTGAGGGAACATGCCAGGGAGCTGGCTGTGGGAGGCCAGAGCTCGGCCACACCACAGCAAGAAGACAGGCAGGCAGGGTTTTCGGCAGTGGGAAGCCAAATGGTTCCGGGGGTGGTCAGTGCCACACACGAAGATGAACAGCTTACTAGGAAAGAGCTAAGGAGCAGGGCCAGTGGGGGCTCCATGGAGTCCGGTGCTCGTGGTGGGATGGGGGATGAGCTAAGGTAGACACACGAACAAGGAAGAAGTGGCTTCCCTGGCCTCTGATGGGCAGACCAGGTCCCCGCTGTGGTCAACAAATACAGTGGCCATGCCTGAACCACTACAAGTAACCTGAGACCACGGGTGAGTTAGGAGCTAGGGAGGGTCACGGAGCTGAAATAACCCAGTAGGTTGTTGGTGAGAAAAGCAGAGAAACCACACAAAGAACTGTTTCGACACCTTTTTGCCAAGAAAAACTGAAACCAGCCCAAGCACTAGCCCTAGTTTTACAGGCCTTGAAAATAACCAGCGATGTAGAGGTTCTCCCAGGGCCAAGCCGAGAGCTGATCACAGCTGGGCTCCAGTGACATTTGCCAATCAATGCAAATTCCAGCTGAGGTGGTGGCCCGGATGCTCCAGGTGGAACACAAGGTGGCAATTCTCATGAGTTTCCCCCTACAGGATGGAAGAACTCCTCCGTCCAGAGACATCTGTAGCTGCTGGATGCCAGGGTGAGACCTCTCGGGGTCAGAGCTGGGGGCTGAAGGACGTGTGCATGATGAAGGCCTGGCACAGAGGAGCCTCGGGAGCGGCCAGCCTGCCATGGGGCTCAGATTTGGAACTAGAGAAGCCAGGCCTGGGGCTGGCTCAGATGAAAAGACCTCTCTCCCAGGGAAGTGAATCAATAGGTCAGCAAGTCTTCAAGGAGCACTGGTGTGTGTGCACTCAGGGTGGGGACGGTGGGGGGAAGGGCGTAGGGACCGTTCCTGTGCTCAGCAGGGCAGGACTGATGGCGAGTCCATTAGCGCTCCAAGGAGGAAGAGCTCACAGGGCTGTAAGTAGCTCCAGGCAGCCTTGTGGAGGGGGGATCTCAACAGGACTTCCATTCAATCACTCAGATGACAGCCACTGAGCCCTGCCAGAGCGCCACGCAGACCCTCCTGTGTGGTGCTCCCAAGGACTCCGTGGGGTGGGTGCTCGTGTTAATAACCCCACTTTACAGATGAGGCAGCCACACGTGGGGAGGCTACGCAACCTCCCCAGGTCGTATAGCAAGTGAGTATGAGAGCCGAGAGAGGACAGGCCAGCACAGGAGAGACTGCAAGGGCAGAGGAATGAGCTGGGATGGGGTCACATGGGGCAGGACAGGAAGGGGGGATCTGGAGGGGCCAGGCAGGGAGGGGGTTGGAAACCACAGAGGAATCTGGGCCTGGCTGCAAAGGCGCTGCCACCTGAGTGGATGGCTCTCGCTGAGGAAGGGACCCTTCGGTAGGTGACTGGCGTTGCCCACTGCTAACTCCTAGTCTGCAGCCATGTAAATGGTATTTCATCACATCAAAGAAACGTGAAACGTGCCCCCGAGGCCCCTCACCCCTGCAGCCAGAGCTGGGCCCAGGGCACACCCACTTCTCATCTCTGCCTCCTCCAGTCCAGACTCAGGGGCTGGTGGAAGAGGAGAGTGGAGCCGGCAGGCCCTGGAATCTCCCATCCTCGGACTTCCTGATCCTCGGCAGCCTCCTTTGTTCGTGCTTCTGGCGCTGGGGGAGGGCACAGGGCTGTCCAGCCCCCTACCCCCCCCACCCCGCCCCCGTGCCGGGACAAACCACTGAGCAGGGGAGGCTGCTTTGCTTCCTTTCTTTCTTTATAACATGAGGCCAGGAAGCGAGGCGTCCTCCCAGCAGCCCCTCAAGAAGGCTCCATCCTGTTCCCCGTCTCCCTCCGGCCCCACCTTCCTGGGACAGGAACCTGGGGCCTGCCTCTGGGCCTTGGGGCAGGCTCTGATTTCCCGGAGGGCGGGCGAGGGAGGAGGGAAGGCTGGCAGAGCAGGGGTGCCTATGAAAGAGCGGTCGGAGCAGCTGACCACATCCAGAGGGGCCAGCATGGCAGGCGGAGACAGGATCTCCAGGCTCTCAGCTGGGGCAGGAGAAGGGAGAACCTGACAGCTGGTGAGGGTGGTCCAGGCGCTAGTGCCTCTGGCCATCAAGCAGACAGGGGAGCCTTTCAGCCTCTAAGGCTCTCCACTGGCAGCCTCCAGAAACCAAACCCTTCCCTTTTGCCCAGCGGCCAGGTTGTGGACCCAGGGTGCTCACCTGGGTGGGTGACTGACCGTGCATCTCCCCGTGGGACACCTGGACATTGGCCTGGGTGGTACAACAACATGGCGGTAGGGTGGGGGACAGGCTGATGCTCCCTAGGCACCCACGGCACCAGGCGCCTGGCAGAATGGGCCCGTTTAATTCAATTGCATCCTCATGAAAACCCTGAGACGGGGGAATTCCCTGGTGGTCCAGTGTTTAGGACTTGGGCTTTCACTGCCATGGGTCTGGGTTCAATCCCTGGGGATTGGGGAACTAAGATCCTGCAAGCTGCGTGGCGTGGACAAAAAAAAAAAGAGAGGGAAGCATTACTCCCATTTGTTGATGGGAAGGTAAGTTCTCCTGCCTTCTGGGGACCTCGGACAAGTGATTTCACCCTACCACCTCTCTGTGCCTCCTTTCCTTAGCTGTAAACAGGGACAGGAGCCCTCACAGGATCATAGGAGCTGTTACGAGCAGCTGATGTTCAGAGAGGTCCCTGAACCTGCTGAGGGACACACAGCAGGGAGCAGGGCGGCATACCCAGGCCTGCCAGACCCCAAGCCCACTTTCTGAGACACTGAGGCCACACAGTCTCCTGCTCCCTCAGCATCTCCTCCTCTCCCTGCACGGGAAGCTCCACTCCTGGGGACAGGGAAGTGGCACTCTGCCCGAGGACAGGCAAGGAGGGGCATGGCGCAGCCTTACTCTGCCTGCCCTCTGTCTCGCTGGCGCAAGCCCCTGGACAGAGTGACTCCAGCACAGAACCCGTGAAGCTGGCGCGTGTGCTCTCTGCCTCTCCCCTTCCCTTGGTCCCCCCTCCCTCCCCCTGGAGACCTTGCTGCCTCTACTGAGGAGTCGGAGACGTGAGGATGTCCTCCACACCAGCATGGAGAAGGGAGCCGAATAGAGCCTGCAGACGCCCCAGAGCAGCCCACAAACACAGCCCCTCTTGGCCTGCCTTTGTTTCCCCCAGGTTCTGCGGCTGACTCTGCCAGTTGCTATGGAAACGATGAGGCCAGCGCTGAAGGGGACAGGCGAATGGGCGGGCGGGGACCAAGCAGCCACCACCAGGGCCCGCGTCCCTGGGACCCAGACCCGGGCAGGGTGGGGAATGCAGCAGGGAAAGCCTCCTGGCCCATGGGCAGGTACCAAGTGCTGTCTTGGTGCAGGGGTTGCAGCTGCTCAGCGGGGGCCAGGCCACGTGGGGCAGGGGCCTCACTCAGGCCCCACACGTTATCACAGTAACTGCCACAGCCATGGCTCACTCCTCCTGCATGGGAGCCCTGTGCCAGGTACAGGGATTAATTGTCGTATTTCATCAGAACCCTGCCCCCCCGCCACCAGATAGGTGCCATTATTAACTCCATTTCACAGATGAGGAAACTGAGGCTCACAGAGGTGAAGTCACTTGTTCAGAACACATGGCTGCTGAGTGGCAAAGCTGGGATCCGAACCCACCCAGTGCGGCCCTGGAGCCCCTGCTCTTAAACCAGGAACGCAGCACTTATGAGTAATTAACTAGATTAATTCCTGTCCCTCATACTCTAGTGGTCATCCAATGAGCTCAGTGAAGTGGCCATGGCCTAATAGCCCCCAAGGACAGGAAAGCCTCTGGGTTTGGTGAGGTGGCTGCTGTCCGAAGTCGTATCAGGGACTACCAACCAGGAGGAAAACCTCACTCAACACCTATGCTCCAACTCCTTTGCTGTCGTCGGGCCCCGTTGTTGGTTTTTCCACGTATCTGGTGGATGCCACTTGGGCACCACCTGAGTAAATGGCTCACCCTTCATTCCGAGTCTGTTCCCATCCTCAGGCAAATGCCCACCGACCTCAGCAACCTTTGCGGGCCTGATGCCTAGAAGCCCTGCTAAGTCACCCACCGGGGCATCATTTCTCAGTGCTGAGTTCTAGTCACACCAGCCAAACATAACGGCCTGTCTCGCTATGCCAAAGCCACCTGCGAACAGATGGCCCAGACTTACTGGAGGCCTCTGGGATGTTCAGGTAGAGGCTGTGGGAGACTGAAGCGGGGATCCTTGCTGCACCTCACTGGGCAGGGTAGAGCTGGAGAGCTTGGATGTCGGTCTAAGGGACCACCTTCGGCTGATCACAAGTACTCTGGGCATTTTCAATTCTAACGAATCCCCACAGATCTCCTGGGTGTGCACTGGGGGTGGGGGGCAGGGGACAAACACTTAGGGAGGCCTGCTAATGGCAGGTGGGTGGCTATAGGGTAGGCGGGTGCACGCAGTGGGGGGTGTCCTGTCCTCAGAGAGTGTACAGTCGGGTCAGTGAGACCAGATCCATGTGCACACCGCCTGGGGTGAGATCTGGGAGGCAAGTACTGCAGAGCTTAGGGAACGGGGCGAGGTGGCCATTTCCATCTGGAACCTCGGTGGGAGAGGAGAGTCTTGAAGGGCAGTAGGAATGCGCTATTGGTTTTTAAGTGAAACTTGACATTTAAAAAAAAGTTTTAAAAACAACAAACCTAAAATGAGGCTCTCTGGGCAGCTCCATGGACCCACACTGGCCTCTGGGAATTGTGACAACTGCTGGCCATGCACTTTTCTGTCCGTGCCAGCAAAGGGCAGGCCCTTCTGGGGGAGAGTCCCTCCCCGCAGAGCCTCCCCTGAGCCTCCAGCACGCCCACCTCCTCCCCTACCTTTGGGCTCCAGGCCGTTGGAATTAAAGTGCATCCTCTTCTGACACTCCGTGCAGCTCATCAGGAACCGGGTCACAGCCTCTCGCGGAAGGAAGGCGTAGGTCTCGGCAATCTGGGGGAGGGAGAGAGGTTTGCTGTTACATGGACCCGTGGGGAGGTGGCTTGGTCACCGGTTCACCAAGGGCTGTGCTTTGGTGGCAGGCACTTTGCCCTTGCCAGCAAGGGCAGGGATTTGAGGAGCAAGGAGCAGATGTCTTAGAGTCTCAGCCATGGAAATGAGTCAGTACTTTTGCAGAATACCAGCAGTTGTAAATTTTTAAATTAAAGAAGCTTAAAAATTGAATAAGCAAAACAATGAAACATCATCTAGTCTTTAACCTATGTTCTCATGAGTTGGGAATATTCCTCTCAACATATCATTGCTACTACTGAAAGATGACTTGATAAACATTGGTCTAGGGTAGGAGGAGACAACTTCCACAATTCGAGATGAAGAAACTGAGCCTCACTTACAAAGCTACCGGCTCCGGGCCTATAAATGGAACCCAAAGCTCTACAAGCTATTCCTTGATCTACTCACAGATCAAGAGAGCTGTGAAAGGCTGATGCCAAGCGGTTCGATTTTTCAAATTGGACAGGCTCTTAGGGACCCCCTTGTTCCAGGTGAGTTTATGAGGCCCAGAGAGGTGAACCAATTCGCCCAAGATCACACAGCTCCTTAGAGCAATGCCAGACTAGAACCCAAGCTCCAGGTCACGCCCCACAGCTGTCTCCAGGGGGCCTCCCCTAGCTAGGGAGAAAGAGTAAGCAGTGTGGGAGGGAAGGTGAAAGAGATGGGAGGCGACACAAGAAAGAGACTGTGTGGGGGAGTGGGGAAGAGCGGGGTGTGGGCCCAGAAGCTCAGTCCTCTCCTCTTGTTCTGGGTTTTGAGAAACCCACTGGTCCTGGTTTGGCTGCCTGAGGGGCCCAGAGGGACCTCTTGGACCCAGGTTTCCTGGCTGAGGCCGGTGGCTGCCCAGTTGCTGGTTTTCACCTTTCCCAGAGCCCAGGCCCTTCCGCTCCTCTCCACTAAGGGGCAGCACCACCCTAGCATTCCGCCGTTCTCGCCGCAGCCCAGTCGGGAAAGTTGGCCAAGGGTGCTGGTCAGCCCACAGTAGGAGGGGCTGCTCTCCAGGACGCACCTGGTCTGCTCCTGCGGGGTGGACACGTGCCCAGCCCCATCTCTGTGGTGGCTAGGAAGCAGGGCGGGGTGAGGCAGAGTGGATGGGGTTGGGGGGGTGCCAGTGGGCCCCCCCGGCTGCGGCCAGGCCGTCAGAGGACCAGCTTAGGCTGTGCTGTCTGCGGAGCTCCAGGGGCCGCTCCTGCCTGGGGGCCGGCTACAAATGCAGAGTTGATCTTGGTGACACAATTGTTATTTCTCAGCTGATTTGATGCTCTGCGGAGCAGGCAGGCTCCTTGATGAGTTATCTCCCTTCCAAATTCTCCGTCTGATTGCCTTCCTCTGGAGGTCAGGGACAAGGGCAAAGCCCTGCTCTCTGATTGGAGCTGGTGGATGGGAGGGCGTGAGGGCCGAGGCACGGGGGCTCTCCTGCCACACATGCGGACATCTTCATCCCCAGCCAGGGGCTGCCTGGTAGTCTTAGGGGTGGCAGGCCCCTCTTGGGCCTGCGGGGTTGGGAGGGATGGGTCCTGCTGAGGGGCTGACGGCTGCAGGAGTCAACGGGCAAGAGGGGAGGATGCCCGCTGTGCCAAGCAGAGGGCCAAGGCTCAGTTGGGCCAGCAGACGACCTCCTAGGTGCCCGAGGTGTGGCCTCTCTGGTCAAGCCCCAGAAGAGCTGAGGTGAGGGCGTGGAGGAGGAGGGTTGCAGTCTGCTGGGAAAGGAAGGGTGACACCATGGGGAAAGAAGCCCTACTTTACTACCAGGAGCTCACCGGCTGCTGGGCAGAGACAGAGTTTCTGCAGGGCTCAGGGAGAGCCTTCCTGGGTGGGCTGCTCTGCTGAGGGCTGCCTGTGGCATAGGCAGAGGCCCTGCTTGCCGCCTGGCCCACTGCGGGCACAGGGACAGTTACGAGACAGCGTCCTGCCCAGGGGCCGGAGTGGCAGCCCCAGCTCTCCCGGCCTTGGCAGAGACCCAGCAGTATGCAAAGGCTGGCCGGAGTGCCACAGGGAGGTGGCGCACCGGGCACACGCCTTCTGGCCCTGGGTCCCATGGATGGGCAGGTGGGCTGGACCAAAGGCGGGTGGGTAAGAAGTCCTTGGAGCTCTCCGAGGGCCTGGGAGGGAAGCCCTGCCCTGCGTGGCTGGAATGTCTGCAGCCTCGCCAAGAGCTCCCCGGGGAGCCAGTAAAGTGCAGAGTCCAGCTCCACGCTGCTGCAGGGACCCGAATGGAGGACGATGCCTTCCCCGACTGGGGCCTTCAATCTCCTGTGGGCATCTTTTGGTTTATGCTCCTGCCTTGTCCACATGAGAAATGGGACCTCCATTTGTTTGACTGCACAGATGCCCAAGGCCACAGGACCCACAGGATGAGCTGAAACAAGGAGGACCATCCCAACTGATGCCCTGGTCAGTAGGATGGTGGTTTTCAGATAGTTTTAGAGCTACAGACAGTGTTCTGGAAATAGACTCTTATCCTGAAGCCCAAAACATGACACAGATAAAGATGGAGCTGTTGCATTTAAGAGGGGAAGCTCCAGGACCCCTGTCCCCACCCAGCTGCCCTTGGAGGCCCTGGACTGTCTGTTGCCTCGCTCTCAGGCCTCCTGCCTGGACACTGAAACACATACATGAATGTGCCTTTTACGTTTTTCTTAGTAGTAAAAACTGAGTGAGATTTCACTGGCAGGGAGAGCAGAAGCTATTTGCAGAGTTGCTGACTTGCAAGGCCCCATTTTCGGTCCCCAACTCAGAGGTCAACAAGGACAGATGAGGCCAATTGGGGGGATTTGCACCACTTTACAAGATCCTCCTTCTGCCCTGCGGGTGGATTAGCATGTGGTGGGCCTGTAGCAGATGCTCACCACATCTGGCCCCAGCTCCAAAGTGGTCTGGGCAGCCAGATCAGGACTCCAGAACCCGATCTAGCCTACTAGCACCCTGGGAAAGAGGAAGGAAGCAAAGGGGATCACCCTAATTCAGATGGGTGCCGACACCAGAAACGCCCCTTGAAGAAGGACCAGTCCTCTATGTGGCTTCAGCGAACTTTGTAGAACCCACACCCCTGCCTTGGCAAGACTCCCTGGGATCCTCTGGACCTCAGGTCACGCTGCGTCAGAGGCAAAGTAAGGCAGGGGCTTCTTGCCCAAGATGGGACTCCCCTGTATTGTCCGTCGTAAACAGCCATCTACCCCTGGCTCAGAGACCTCCAGTTTCAGAGAAGCTCATTACCTGCCCTCTCTGATCCCTAGAAACTCCTTTGCCCACTGAAGAATGCGCCTCCTTTAATGCCCTGAACAAGCCTGCCCATCTCCCTTCCAGTCTCCGGCTCCCTCAGGCACCCCAGGCCTGTAAGAATCTGGAAGGTCCCAGGTGTCCCCAGAGACAGCAAGGCAGTCCCAGGATTCACATTTGGTAAAGCACACACAGGCAGGTCCAAAAACCCCTCCTAAGGGCCTGAGGCAAAGCCCGCAGCGCCAGGCTGTGCCTCTCTGCAGCCATCAGCACGGAGCTTCCTTTGGGGGGGGGGGGTCTCTTTCCACAGGCATGGATGGGGCTGAAGAGCTAGGCTTAGGCTGAGGAAAATGGGAGCAGGTGAAAAGAGGAGGACAAAAGCATGCGGGCACCACCCCATCCCCCCAAAAGGAAAAGGGTGGCAATGAGAAGGGTGACAGATGGAGAAGAGGGGGGAAGGGAGAGGAGGCACACAGGGGAGGAAGGGGGTACGGCGGCCCCCCTGGCCTCACACCCACTGCAGGAGGGCCTGGCCTGCTCCCTCAGCCCTGGCCCTGCTGCTGAAATTCCAGCTCTGCACGCAGCCCAGCTGGCTCGCTGCCAGTCATGTGCCAGCTCCAGGCTGGGCAGCGGGAAGTGGGGCACGCGGCGGGCATATGGACGAGAAGCCAGGAAGCGCAGAGCCAAGGGCTGGACGTCCGCTTGGCCCAGACACGCAGAGCCTGGCGGGTGCAGCCAGCCCCGCCCTCTCCGCAGCCCAGAGCTCGAAGACCCCAGCCTTCGTAAACACCCAGGAAATGCCCGAGGGCGAGACTTGGGGCTGGGCACCCAGGGGACCAGGGAAATCATGAGGTCTGGTTGGTACAAGCAAGTCAGCAGACCCCACTAGCTGGCCATAGGAGGTTTGTAGAGAGGTGGCATGTGTGGTGGTCAGGGTGTGGGCTCTGGGACAGCTGCCTGGCTCTGAACATCAGCTGGATGACCTCAAGGCAGGTTTATTCATCTCTCTGGGCCTCGCTTTCCTCATCTGTAAAATGGGGGTACAGCAGCCCTGCTTCATCCGTGTGATGGCTCAGAGAGCTGGTGCAGGGGACGTGCTGAGCGCAGAGCCTGGCACGTGCCGGCTCCCAGCAAGGCAAATTCAATGCTGAGAAAGTGTGTGGGGTCGCATCAGTACCAAGGGGCCCACACAGGCCCCAGCTCGGGTATCCCTCCCTCCATTTATGACCCTCTGGTGGAAATACCCTCAGAACTCCCTTCCCACAAGCCGTTGTCCAACGCACAAGTGCTGAGAAGCAGTAGAGGTCGGGGCAGAGAGGACAAACATCTCCTGCTTCCCTCAGCCCGACCCCTCATCTCTCTGAGGTCCTTGTCATGCGGGTCCATCCTTAAGACTCATTTAGAGCAAAGGCCATCTTCTGAGGACAAGGACAAACCAGATTATTGGATTTTTTTTTAAAAAATCAGGCCATATGGGGAAATTATAGACTTATACAGGCCACCTCCGCTGCACTCCAAGGCTATTTATAAAAGAACTTGGAGGGTTTGCATCCGCTTTGGGTGAGGTAGCCCCATCACAGAGGGGCAGGTCTCTAGGAAGCCAGAGAGAAAGTCAACACAGAGCTGACTGCCACTTCAGTGCTGTGTGACCTTAGAGCGGTAGCCTACCTCTCTGGGTCTCAGTTTCCTCAACTGTGAAATGGGCCACAGCACCTCTGTCACAGGACTGCTGTGAGGCTTGAATGAACATAAAATGCTTGGCTTTACTGGTTTAGTGGTGGGTGCCAGACAAGTGGTTCAGAGCTGTTCATGAGCCATGGCAATGGGGGTCAATGGGGGGGGGCACGACCAGAACCCAGGCAGGCCCCTCCTGCTCTGGCCACCATCCCCTCCACTGCCCGGTGTGTGATGTTTCCCACCCTAGGTTGCCGCCTCTGCTCTCTTCTGCCTACCCAAAGTTTAGACTGCTAGCTCACCTGCCACCTTCTCCATGAAGTCCCCCTGGCTTAGCACTGAAAGTTGGTGTCTGGAGGGCCCTTTGCTGAATGACCAGGCGTACCTGGGTTCTTGTTCCCTCGAAGCTAGTCTTGGACACATTTCTGTTTCTCGTATCTTGGTTTTGCTCTCAGCCTCCCCACCCCAAATCGAACTGTGCTTTCCTAGAGGGTGGGGCCCAGGTCCTCAGACTTCCCCTGGGGAACTACCAGCACTGACTTCACAGGGTCGTAGGGGGCTGAAGGAGCTCACACATAGGGAGTATTCAGGACAGGCCTGGCACACAGTAAATGCCATGGAAGCGTTTGCTCTGCTGATTATCTAGCCACCCCACCCCCAACTGCGGCCCCAGGCCGGGGCTGGGGGGATGGAGTGAAGCAGAAACCAGGAAGAGGAGGGCTTTCCTCCTTCCCTCATCCCTCTCCTTCCCTCCCTCTCACTCCCTTCAACCTGCTTCTCCTTTGTGCTCAGACCACAGAGCCCGCCCCCTCGCCCCATGAGCCATCTCTGGCTGCCATGCCCTTGCCCTGTGCCCCCCTGGGTCCCCAAAGGCTGTTTCATCACGCCTCAGCTCCCTGCCCCACCCCCTGCCCAACATGTGCGGATCCCATGGCCTCCTGCCAAGGCCTGGGGCTGCCAGCAGAGGCAAAGAGACAGAAATCTCACCGCTCGGTAGGTTTTCTTCTGCCCAGCGTGCTTGGGGGCTTTGCCTGGCTCCGCTGAGCTCTCCACATGCATCGAGTAGATGATGTCAAAGAAATCTTCCACCACAGCGACCCGCTTCAGAGAGATGCCCTCCGGCTCCGACAGGCCATCTGCCCCCTGCGACAGGGTGGACAAGCTGTGTTAGTGTCAGGGACGATGGCAGGGTGAGAGCTGGGCCCTGTGGCTGGGCAGTGGGTCAGGGGCAGGGACACCGCTGCTCGCTGACCCCGTAAGGCCTCCGATGGTAGGTTTGGGGGGCTGGGGGAGAGGAGCCTGCTGAGAGGGCCGCAGGGAGGGGGCTTCCAGAGTCAAGGGTGGCTGCTGCTACTAAATCTGCCAGAAACAATGGGCAGAGAAAAACAACAAATTAAAAAACCAAGAGCCACCATGTTCACAATTTCAGACAGATTGTGCCAGACTCAGAAGGGAGCTTTCGAATCACACACTGTGCCAAGACCATCCTGGAAGTCTCTGGGGAGGGGGGCGGTGCTAAATAGATGCGGCTCCATCAAGAGCTCCCCAATTAGCAGTAACCTTTCGCTGTGGTCCTGGGCTAGGGTCCCAGGGAAACGGCTCGGATCACCTGGGTGACTCCTGCCTCGCCCTGGCCTTTCAGAAAAGCTTTTCACCGCTGCCCACCTCCCCACTCCAGCAGCTGAGCGCCAGCAACGGCACCCGGGCTCTTTGTGTGTGGAGATGTAGAGAATGACAGACACAAGGCCACGTGGAGGTGGCAGGGCCACATGAGTGGGGTGGCCGTGGATCCCCCGAGCCTCTTATTGGGCTGGCACGAGTGCTGTCAGCTGGCCCCAAAAAGGTGTGCCAGGATCTCAGGGACACTGGGCTTTCAGCCATCATCTCCCTAAGTGGAGACTTGGAGGGCTCTGGGGGTTTCAAAGAGGAAGAGCAAGCAGTGTTTGGGAGGGGGGATTTGGGAAAAAGGAGGCAGGCTCTTCTCTAAAAGAGCTCAAAACACAAATCTCCAATAGAATTCTTCCCCAAAGGATTCCACTCAAGAATGTTGGCTCTTTGGAGGGCAAAAGGGAGTGTTCTTCTGGGGGCTCACAGCTGTCTCCCCAGCACAGAGCACAATGCCTGGCACACAGTAGGCTCAATAAACAGCTGCGGAATGACTGGGTGGTTGTAAGCGGCAGCCAGGCAGGGTAGTTTAGACACACACTTCTCCAGTTTCAATGGGGCCCCATCAATTACGTGGCTGTGTGACCCTGAGCAGGTATTTTGCTTTTCTGAGCCTCAGGTCCTTTACCTAGAGGCTGGGCATAACGGAAGCACCTTTCCCATAAGCTGCAGAGAGGAGTAAATGAAATGTGTGCGCAGCACTTAGCACCAAGCCTGGCCACAGAAACTGCTGGATAAATATTGTCATTAAGAAGTGCTTTGCCAATTGCCAAGCTTCCCCCAGCCAGGACGGGGCTGAACATCGCGACAAGCCTGGGAGACCGTTAGGGTCAGGACCTGCCTGTGGGATGGTGGCTGGTAAGGGTCAGAGCTGGCTCAGGACTTTGGTCTTTGTCGTCCAGGGAGAATCGAGGGCACGCTGAATGGGACACTCACTCACAATACATTCTGGGCACAGGCAGGGTTTGCTTTTATCCAGCAATTTTCTCAACGTGCCATGATAGGATAGCAGGGCTATCTCTTTGCCAGTGGCCCACTTGAGAGCAGGTGGAAAGGAAGGGCATCTGGGACGTAGGGACCAAACCCTAGGGCTAGTGGGCAGCGTCCATGAGTGATGACCCTGGGTGGTGACCTCACTGGCCCTGCATCCACTGCAATGGGGACTTCTTAGCAGGTACCTGTGTGTGTGTGTGTGTGTGTGTGTGTGTGTGTTCGCGCGCCTGTGTAGGAAGAACAGCTTGCTGGTCCTGACTGCTTGCTGTGAGACTGTAGGCAAACTCTTCAACCTCCCTGAGCTTCGCTTATGAGATGAGCTGTAAAATTCCATGACTGCTATTCTTAAACCCTCTCAGAAGTGACTGTTATCTCTGTCTTGAGGGTATCGGCAGTCCCCCTCTGAAGTCCTGGGCTCATCAATGACTAATTCATTAGCTGACCTGTAACCACCAGCATTCTGGAGATCTTCAAACACTGCCATGACAGAGATGCATGGGACAAATATCATGACAGGTCAGTTACAATACACTTCTAACCAGAGGTTCACATTGACGACAACAAACAAAAGAAACTTAAGAATGAAAATACAACTGGGTTTCTATTTCTTGAGCGGGGGTGGGTTCAGTTTATAAAAAGCCATTGATCTGAACACTTACAATTTGTGTACTTTTCTGTGTGTCTGTTAAACTTAATTTTAAAAGGTATATTTTTTAAAAGTATAATGGGGTGGGTAGTTCCAGATTTCAATAATCTGAGTCCCAGAGGCATAATGATGGGTTTCGCTGCTTACAAGTGAAAAGACCTCTCTGCTCATAAAATTGTTTCAGGCCAGAACACAGATACTTCTGGAAAAAGTTGATAAAATTTGATGAGAAGGAAGAGAGGAAAAAGACAATCTGATGAAAGATAATATTTTAGATAGGTGAGATGGAAAGTGCCCCCTAACCAGCTTGGTGACCTTGGACAGGTCACTTCTTCACGTCTTAAAACTCAGTTTCCTGGGCTTCCCTGGTGGCGCAGTGGTTAAGAATCCACCTGCCAATGCAGGGGACATGGGTTCGAGCCCTGGTCCGGGAAGATCCCACATGCCACGGAGCAACTAAGCCCGTGCACCACAACTACTGAGCACTCTAGAGCCTGCGAGCCACAACTACTGAAGGCTGCACGCCTAGAGCCCGTGCTCCGCAACGAGAGAAGCCACCGCAGTGAGAAGCCCGCGTGCCGCAACTAAGAGTAGCCCCCGCTCACTGCAACTAGAGAAAGCCCGTGCACAGCAACGAAAACCCAATGCAACCAAACAAAAAAAAAAACTCAGTTTCCTCTCACCTGTAAAATGAACCTAAAAAGTCCTAGTTGGATGTTCCAAGGCTCAGGTAAGAACGTAAGTCAGGCATCTGCCACATAGATCCATTCAGGTTACAGAAGGGGTCCCCCGAGGTAATAACCACCATCAGAAGGCATGCAGAATCTTATGCAAAGTAACATGCTAATAAGGCTGTCACAAATACTTGGAATAAGCTTCCCTAAAGTCAAGGTATAACTAACGAACTCAGATTAAACAGCAGAACACACTGCCCAGTGCCTGACCTGCCTCGGTCCCAGCCTCCCACCTCCATTCACAGGCAGGCACGGGTAACCAACAGCTTTGTGCCTGGCCCAACGTTGACCATAAAATTAACCCAGAGAAACTATTCAGGGATGCTCCCTCTTTAAAAATGGATTGTCGGGGCTTCCCTGGTGGGGCAGTGGTTGAGAGTCCGCCTGCCGATGCAGGGGACACGGGTTCGTGCCCCGGTCCGGGAAGACCCCACATGCCGCGGAGCGGCTGGGCCCGTGAGCCATGGCCGCTGAGCCTGCGCGTCCGGAGCCTGTGCTCCGCAGCGGGAGAGGCCACAGAAGTGAGAGGCCCGCGTACCGCAAAAACAAACAAACAAAAAATGGATTGTCCTCTCCTGTGCTGTTCAAACCTGGGTCCTGTAATCGGTCTATCTCAACTGCAGAGATGTACACGGGAAAGGAGACGGCCCGTAGCAACCACAATTCAAACCACACAAGGTCTGCAGAGCCACACCTTGAACTGTCCTCTGGTGAGCTGTGGCCACCTGGACACCATGTGTACTACACCCTGAGGGTGGAACACCAGGATATCTGTGTGGCCTTCAAGGAGAACCCTGGGAAGAGAACAAAGGGATCGCACGGCAGTCACGTGCCACAGACAGCTCTGCCATGCCCTGCATCCACAGAGGTAATAACTTTCATGCTAAATGCTGCAGGAAAGGCATGCCTTTCCTAGCCGAGAATCCAGACACAGTACTACAACGCTTGAGCTGCTAATTAGGGAGTGGACAGCACCTTCCGCACAGCCTTGGGATGCCTCTGCCAACCACCTCTGCTTTGTACCCAAGTTAGCTTAGTCTGATCCACAGCCCTAAGCAAGCTGGGCCCTGGGTTGACAAAGGAAGCTCACTTCATTTACAGGCTGGATAAAGAGTGGGGCTGGAGCCTCTTGGCTATTCCCCACTTCCTGGGAACGCCAACCAGGAGTGATGGAATGGAACCCAGCAGCACCGCATGGGAAAAGCCATGAAAAACACATGGTCAGGGCTTCCCTGGTGGCGCAGTGGTTGAGAGTCCGCCTGCCGATGCAGGGGACACGGGTTCGTGCCCCGGTCCGGGAAGATCCCACATGCCACGGAGCGGCTGGGCCCGTGAGCCATGGTCACTAAGCCTGTGCATCCGGAGCCTGTGCTCCGCAACGGGAGAGGCCACAACAGTGAGAGGCCTGCGAATCGCCAAAAAAAAAAACACGTGGTCAGTTGTGCAGGACCGACCTCTGGGGCCTTCCTGTGTGGGGAAGAATATTGTCATGGTAAATTACTACATCCTTTTGAAACAGCTAACTCCAAAACAGCCAGCCAGACTTGGGCCAACAAAACCAGACATGGCAATAGTTGTTAAAAATTCATGGAGCGGGACTTCCCTGGTGGCGCAGAGGTTAAGAATCTGCCTGTCAATGCAGGGGATACAGGTTCGAGCCCTGGTCTGGGAAGATCCCACGTGCCGCGGAGCAACTAAGCCCGTGCACCGCAACTACTGAGCCTGCGCTCCAGAGCCCGCTTGCCTACAGCCCGTGCTCCGCGACAAGAGAAGCCACAGCAATGAGAAGTCCGCACACCGCAACAAAGAGTAGCCCCTGCTCGCCACGACTAAAGAAAGTCAGCGCGCAGCAACAGACCCAACACGGCCAAAAAAAAAAAAAATTCATGGAGCTACAAACTTCCTTGGTTATTACCATCTTCCTTAAAACCAGCCCATCTGGGTTCCAAACTAAAGACCAGGTTGCAAGTCATTGAGGAAACCACCAAATGTCTACTTAAGCAAGGCTGGTATTTCAGAATATTTATAACAATGGTTCGCAAAGTGTGGTCCCTAGGCATCACCTGTGAACTTGTTAGAAATGCAGTTCTCAGGTTCCACCTCAG